ATTTTGGAAGAAAATAGTATACTTTTAGAGCTCTATCCGCTTAAGTTTATAAGGAATGGTATCTCCTTTAGAGAAACAATATTTTTATGTATGCGGGAGTCTAATTTTTTTCTATGCTCCTCGTTTTTTATTTTTAAAGCGCTCATTTTTATACACGAGGCGTATAACACTCACCCGTAGATTTTGTTCTTATTCAGTGCCTACTACTAGTTCACTCTCTCCCTATTTATATATATATATATAAAATATACATGTCACAGTGTTTGTCCGCGATGGACTCCGAAACTACTCAACCGATCATAATATAATTTTGCATACTGTGTGTCACTTCGTCCAACTTAAAACATAGGTTGGTTTTTATTTCAATTTATCACGCCATATTTTTTTTATTGCCGGAAATGTGAAGAATCTGGAAAAAACGTTGCCAGATTCCCGTAAGGGATGCTCATTCGGTACTCTCGACTTATTTCTGAATTGCGTCAAGGTCATTCACTTTGCGTTAGCTTTCTGTTTGGAAGACGGGAAAGGTTGAGGTAGTTTTGAGTCTCGCTTCGTAATAAAAAGGGGAATTCCCTCATATAACGCATCACAACCGATAGTTTTTTTTTAACACGCTTTTATAAGTTTCACTTGCATGTAACGGAATCTTAGAACTCGATTTTTACCTACTTAAAAAGATCGGATTCATTCGAAATTTCGCACACTTATCAAGGACAGATGGCAATACAATAATTTCATAATTTTGTTCCATTGTCCTTTTCAGGATCGTCAGGAATAAGGATAATCAGATTTGGCGACAATTCCGTATATCTTTTCCAGATTTGGCGACTTATTGCATGTATCATTTTCAAATTTGGCGACTAATTCCATATACCTCTTTCAGATTTGGCGACTAATTTCATACATCATTTCCAGATTTGGCAACTAAAAGAATAAGGTGTAACCCTAAGGCGAATGTTTTGAATTTAAAGCTAATTCTATATGCGAGTATAAAATACACTTGCGGTTAATAGAAGTAAGACAAACACACAAAAAAAGTGTTCTGTATCTGAGAAAGTGGAGGGTGGGTGTGTGTTAGCAATTGCTTACCGTAATGTAAACATTTTTCTGAAAATGAAAATAAAAAAAGGCTTGTGCATGTGAAAAAAAAAATAATTTGCGTTCTAAACGCTAAATATTTTTTTATTTTTATAAAGCAATACGTTTAGAAATGATGATACGAATTAACATGAAAGGAACACGTTTAAAAGGTGAAAAAAAACGATTGACATTTAATATTACCATGTTTTTATTAAATCGCTTTCTTTAATATCTGTCCGGGTGGAATTTTGTAATTGATTTTAAACTGTGTGACTTTCCGAGGAGCTAGACTTGAAATTTGGAACATAGCTCGGACGTGGATGACAATGCATGAAAATGTGAAAAACGAAAACAAAATGCAAAAAGTAGGAATTTTATAATTTTTAGTCCGTAAAAAAACATGGTACATTAAAAACTTTTTTAATTCGAACTTTTTCTTCTTTACACACTTTTATTTGTTTGACCTGTTCAAAAGAGACGGAATCTAATATAACGATACGGGATTCATCCGAGGCCTCGTAAACGCAGAGAATAAATACACATCAGACCCTTTAATTAATATCCATTGAAGAGCAAGACTAATTTTACAGCCACGTAATTCCAGCTTCAAATATCAAACCCAAGGATAAATTCGGCAATGAATAAATGATAGTTTAAAAAACTAAAAAACACGCTTTTATTGTAGTTCGAACTAAAAAATGAAAAATAAATTATAGTTTGAAAAAAACTAAAAAACACGCTTTTATACTGAATCGAACTAAAAAGTAAAAAATAATTCTTAATAAAGAATAAAATGATTAACGAGAAAATGAATTTCATTGGGGTAAAAGCTTGGGGTGTTCTATAAATGTATCAATTGTTGTAATTTATAACTTCTATTCTGAAAAGTTGAATTAGTGTAAAAATGTAGTACAAAGCACCCCACGCTTTTACCACAATGGCATTCATTTTCTCGTTAATCATTTTATTCTTTATTAAGAATTATTTTTTTACTTTTTAGTTCAATTCAGTATAAAAGCGTGTTTTTGAGTTTTTTTCAAACTATAATTTATTTATTCTTAAAGATTGATTTATTGAAGAACAGTAGAATATAAGAAAAAAATATCATAAAAAAATATAAGGAAATATTCTTAAATATATTTTTATCACATAGTATTATTTTCTTTTTGAATTTCATACTGTGAAATGAATCAATATCGTTGCGTTTAAATAAAAATTATTTTTAAAACTTTTAGCATCAGTGATTTAAAAAATAAAAAGCCAGAAACTTTTTTGAACAAACTTTAATAAAACACTCAAAATACTTAATAATTAATAATTTTTCCCGTGTGTCGAACATTTCAAAAATCCTCACAATTTTACTTCAAGATTTATAATAGTAGTGAAGTTTTGTAATTTAAAAAATTTCTACTTTTCTGTCTATTTTCAACATACAACTATTTTTAAAAAGGCCACATTTTCGTTTCCGGAACTAAAAAATTGCAACGAAAGAATTGAAAAGTGAGTGAGTGATTTATAAATTCGCACTGTTCGCCTATTCGAGAGTTTTTGGCGACGGACCTCGAAATTTTCAACCATGGTCAAGTGACGAGGACGACACCTGAGCTTTCACCCATCTCTCCTAATTACCACACCACACCAACGCAAGAACAGATTTCTAAAAAGGGTGTTTTAATGACATAGTTAAAGAAATCACTCACAACGCGCATACACACACATAAGTGCTATCGTCCTGAGGGAAACAGGAAATTCCCTTGAGGATTAAGTTATTCACTCGGTAAAAGCACGTGCAACACCGGGCTAAGCGAAGAGGAAAGAAACAAAGAAGTCAAAGTAATTTCGAAAAATTATATTGGAAGAACTGATTTTGTGAAGAGAAGGGAAAATGTTAAACGAGAAAACCATTGATACGTACTCATGGGTCTTGCACTCACATCGTACGCTTCACACCCACACAAAAGTGCTGGCGTCAGAAAGAAAGGAGGAAATTAACATGGGGATTAAGTATTACCCTAGGTCAGGGGTCGGCAACCTTTTGAGTCGGAAGAGCCCAAATTACAATTCACAAAATTTTTTCTTGCCAACAATAAATAGTGCTTTCATAAATAAAGTTTTTTTATTTAAAAAAAACTAATCTAATTATTCATATATGTAGTTTAGTGTTTTTCACAACAAATTAGATAATATATATATATATATATATATGGCATTATTAGATAATTGCTTATTTTTTAAGTAAAAAATTAAAACAATTAACATTTACTTACAACACTACCTTGTACTTCAATAACTAACAATTGAGCAAACAAATTTATTGGGAGCGATGGCTTTCCATGGTTATTCAAGTAGAAAATAAAAAACTTTATTAAACAATGTAACTTGTACTTAAAAATAACATTCATTTGAGCAAACAAATTCAATGGGAGCGTTGGCTTTGCATGGTTTTAGAAAGTTTGGATAAATTTGGCTCATAATTTGTTATTTTAAGTTTCAAACACGACTCTAAATTTTCATTTTTTAGTTGGATTCTTACTTTACTTTTAATTATATTCATGCAAGAGAACGCTTGCTCGCACGAATATGTCGATCCGAAGATAGTCAGCAGTAAAAATTCAAACATCTTCAGCTCACTGTAGCAATCTAGAAGACTATTCCATGCGTCGAATATAAGTGCTTCAACTCGCTGCATGTCTTTTAAAGCTGTTCACTTTTGTTGCGTTACGTACATACATTTCTGGGCCTCCAACTCTTCCAACTTTCTTTTCGACTCTGTAAAGCTTCCACTCCTCAAAGCTTTACTTTTTAAATCGATCAATTGCATTTCTTGAGATCCAGTAACAATTCCGAATAGCTCAATGTGGATTTTGTTACTATTTGTGTTGAGGGGATTTACTATGAATGCTAGAGTGGTTTTGAATGGAAACATCCAATGACGGCGTCATTCGAGAACTTCCGACAGACTGACGACAGTGAAGACGCGTGTCACGGGGGAGGGGTGCGGTGAAAAGCGAGTGCAAGTGGCTGAGAGATAGAAACGGTGCCTAATCCTCGTTAATCAACTCAGAACGATTTTTAAGTGTTTTTGAAGTAAACTTCTTTACGCACGCTTGCCATGGGTGACGAGAGCGTTACAAAAAGTGTAATCGGGCTAGGCGAATGGAAGTTGAGAGGGAGATATAAGTTAGTGAAGAAAGAAAGACAGAGAGTTACACTTCGAATATTACTGTAGAGGCAATAGAGAGCAACTCTACACGACACCTGAGCTTTCACCCATCTCTCCTAATTACCACACCAACGCAAGAACAAATTTTGAAAAAGGGAGTTTTTATGACATAGTTAAAGAAATCACTCACATCGCGCGCATACACACACATAAGTGCTATCGTCCTAAGAGAAACAGGAAATTCCCATGGGGATGAAGTTATTCACTCGGTAAAAGCCCGTGCAACCCCGGGGTAAGCGGAGAGAAAAGAAACAAAGAAGTCAAAGTAATTTCGAAAAATAATATTGGAAGAGCTGATTTTGTCAAGAGAAGGGAAAATGTTAAACGAGAAAGCCATGATACGCACTCACATCGTACGTGTCACACCCACACAGAAGTGCTGACGTCAGAAATAAAGGAGGAAATTAACATGGGGATTAAGTTATACCCTCGGTAAAAGCCCGTGCAACGCCGGGCTGGGTCAGCTAGTATATATATATGTACATTTTGTTAAAATTTTTAATCGATAAAAAAATATTTTCTATTTTCATTCATTCAAGTTCAAATACATTTTTTAAAACTTTTAGTGGATGACACTTGATGTTAGTACAGATTTTTCAATTATTAATTCATTAATTAAATTAAAAAATGAATAGGTAGTAGAAATTATAAAAATAATAGCCCAGCAGCATATCTAGAAAGGACAATTGCCTGTTATGTCCGAGTCGAGCAATGGGTAGCGCGTTGGACTACTAATTCAAATATCGTGGGTTCAATTCCCACCTGAGATGAAATAGCTTCTGAGAATGTGATTTATTTTTTACTATACTGTTTTATTAGAATAATTAAATTTAACAATTGAATAAATAGTAGCAAAGAATATATATAAAATAGTCCAACACCATATGTAGAAAGTAAAATTGAGAGAGAAAATTGCTGCTGGCCACCGTAAATGCAACACCAAGAAAGACAAGAGATAGCACAACAAAATTTATTTTGTAGATAAAATGTTGACCAAGTATCAAATGATTAAATTTATAGACTTCTGTGAAGTGTGGTTCTTGTCAGAATCAGTAGCCAGAGTAGCCGCAATTGTTGGAGATCACCGCTGCCACACGCCTCGGCATTGATTCAAATAGACTTTGGATGTATTCTTGGGGTACAGCAGACCACGCAGCTTCCCCACGTTGCCAAAGTTGATCTGGTGTGGCAGCTGTGAGTGTAATCTGGGTCAATCGTTGAGCAACCATAGACCACATGTTTCTATCGGCGAAAGATCCGGGGAGCGAGCCGGCCAGGGAAGCAATTCAATCTGGTGATTGACGAAGAACCTTTGGACAATGCGTGTCACGTGTGGTCGCGCATTATCCTGTTGAAATATGGCTGTGGCCATATTTCAACAGGATAAGGCCAAGCCCTGAAGGTAAGGAAAGACAACTGGCTCCAACACCTTGGAGATGTAGCGCTGGCTGTTTAAAGTACTGGCAATGCTTACTAGATAAGTGTGAGAGTGATATCCAATACCGCCCGATACCATAATACCCGGTGCAGGACCAGTGTGGTGATGCATAACGCAGCTGTTCAGCATCCTCTCTCCACGGTGTCTCCAAACTCGAATCCGACCATCGTAGTGTTGCAGACAGATGCGTGACTCGTCAGTAAAGACAACTTCATTCCATTCGGCCGCCCACATCCTTCTTTCATCTCACCATTGGCGGCGGAGACGTCTGTGGTTCTGGGTCAAGGGTAGACCAAGCAATGAACGTCTTGCGGACAGACCACTCTGCTGTAAACGGCGTCGAATGGTACGCGCAGACACTGAATGATGCGTTACAGACTCAATGTGCTGTGCTATAGTTCGTGATGTGACTCAGCGATCCGTCACTGCCATGCGCATAATTTGCCTGTCCTCACTTGAAGTTGTGCACTGAGGTGGATGCAATTGACCACGTCGGTCCGTCGTACCCTCCTGCATCCAACGGTCACATATCCGCATTACAGTTGTTTGGTTTCGTCCAACACGACTACCGATTTCCCTGAAAAATAATCCACACTCTCGGTAGGCCACTATCCTTCCTCTTTCGAACTCGGATACTTGATCAAAGGCTGATCGCTGTTTTCTACTAGACATAACTGATCGTTTTTTGAAAAAACCCCAAGAAAAACATAATTGCCGAACTTGAAATCGTCGAAATCTCCAAGCCTTAAATAGCGCTTTGAGGTGGCGCCACAAGCGTGCGTGATGTGTGTCTGCGCTGAAATTCTAATCATTTGCATACACCCCCCTCCGCTAATGCATGTTGTAAATTTCATGTTATTTGCGTGCTTCCTTCAGGGTATTGCATTTACGGTGGCCAGCAGTGTATTTTGTTACTTTATATTGTGATTCTGTCATATATATATATATATAAAAATTCAAAAATATACACAGAATAGTTATAAATCTAAGATAACTATAGTCATGATAGTATAATGTCTTCGCCATAGTAGTACTATAGCAAACTCCTGGCCTTAGGAACCAAGATTGCAGGTTTAAACAAAGTTTCGCGGCCAACCAAACTTCACCTGTGTGTATTTACCAATACAATATATATATATAACAAAAATAAAAATTTTCTTTCTTGACCTAAGTAGGAATTAATTTACTTTTTTACATGACTTGTTTTCTTTCTTTCTTTCTTTCTTTCTTTTGTTAAAAAGGCTCGTTGCCCTCCATATTTTACGGTAAATATTATTATTATTTAAGAACTTAAATACCTCCTTGATGTTTTGGCGTTATTTAAGAAGCTTTACACGCATATATTATCATTTAAAAATAAAACCACGAGGAAAAGCCTATCTATCTGGATCATGTATTTTGGACATTGATATATTAACCTTTATAAGGTTATTTTTTTCTAATAATGTTATGTTAAAATACTTATGGAATCAAGATTGATTTATAAAAAGAAAATAATTTAGCTTATTACCAAAAGTTATTTGTTATTTAAGATAATTTTTTTTGTAGGAGGTATGTTTCCTACTGCCCACTGAGGCCTTTTCAAAGGTAGGATATCTTCCGGTGTTTTTATTTTAATATTGCATTTCCTGACAATTATAAAATATAATTTGCAAATAGTGAAATCTACAAAAGTAATTATAGCCTAGGTATATGTTGATATTGATAAACTGAAGAATTTATTCATGTTTTTCCATAAAATTTCAGAAAACCGGAGTCAAATCACTGTGGGACATTGCCAGATTCTCTTACTCTCTTCTCATGTGCTTTAGTAGAGTACAAACGACAACATATATAGGTTTCTTATAAAATTAGCAAGTACTCACCAACATTAGTCAATCGTGCGTTCTTTGAAACAATTGTCTTTCTGCTCAAGAATTTACGTCATTTGCATTTACGACTGTGCCATCTAAAAATTAGTGTTGTTCTTTCGAAGTAATAGCAGCACAAATCATAGTTGGGAAAGTAACTTCCCATTGATTTTCAAAAATTTGTGAAATTTGTGGGAAGTATACTCCCCACGGATTTATAAAGTGTTAAATATGGAATGAAGAACCTCCAACTGCCATTCTTATCTACATAAATGCAGGAACTAAATGAATAATTCCGATTTCAAATTGCTACAAGTTTCCAACTACTTTTTTCGGAAGAGAATCTTTTGTTAATTACATTCTACGATACGATATAGTTCAATAAATTTCGTTAATGAAAAACCGAATATGAGAAGGGGCCACTTTTACTAAATTTACGTTGACTAAATAAAGCTAAAATTCTAAGCTCAGAGCGTATATTAACTTTCACAACTGATTAATAACTTAATTTAATCAATCAGGATGAAATATATTTATATGTTTTCTTGCATTATCATGATTAATGTATATTTTATGAATACGTGTCTAAAACTCGGTTTAAAACGTCATAGCAATCAAATTCCTTCAAAAGTAGTTCATTTTGGTTACGTGAGTAGATTTGAGACGATATCGATTCAATCAGTTTTGATGAACTCAAAAAACTATTTTCTGAATGAAATTAAAACTATGCGTGAGAGTGAAATGTTATTAATATGATATCGAAAATCAATATCTCGTATTTACAAATACTTCCTTTGTCAACATTTCTTCTGTTGACCCGAATAACTGCTTATTCTCTTTTGGAGAATGTACTGCACTATTTACAAATGTACGCAAACATAGAATCTTATGGGGAATCTTCTTTAGACTTCTTGTTTCAACCTCGTATCTCCATTCTTCTGCTATTCCATTTTCCCCCCTTGCTCAAGAGGAAAAAAAATGTTCCTTCATGCCGCAGCGCCCTCTGTTGATCAAATTATACCATCTCTGCGTGCTAATTCTTCAGATCATGGATTCCTAAAGTATGGTTCGCGGAGTCTCTTATGCAAGGTTGGGATTTCTCTCTTTTACAGTCTCTGAAAGACATCGTCGAAAAATTGATGGATGCGCCATACTAGACTAGGTTACGAAATGAGCCCCAATGAATCAAAATTTAATAATAGTTTCCATCAAAAATTTAATTAAAAATTATTTTTTCGGAATCCCCAAGAAAGATTGGAATTTAGAGAATTATGTCATATTTTATTTAAGAACTTTTTGAACAGTTTATAAATAAAACTTTCGAGAATGTTTTAGTTACAGGTAACGAAGTATCAGGTACTTACGTAACTCCTCCGCTTCGCAATCGTTGCCATCATTCGTTAAAATATCAAATCCTGGACAGCATTTGTGAGTCTGGATTTTTTTTATTGCCTTGCCATTTTCCAAAATTCTGTTTAAAAAAAAAGACAATTCTTTCAGTATTCATACTTTGGAAAAATTGTACCCGTCGGCATAATCATTTCGAACATTAGCATTTTGCTTATCAGATAAACCATTCTGATAATTTTCTGCAGAATAACATAAAGATTAATTTTCTGTTTCATTTTTAGTGTTGATAATCAGCATCGTATTTAAGCAGATAAAATACATTTAGAGTAAAAATACCAATTTCGCCAAATGGGAAGACAGCATCATTTCAAAAAATTTCGCCAAATGCTATCATCAATGTTATTACTAACAGGCATGGGAATGGTTTCCACTGGCTGTGTTTTGCAGCATTTGGAAACTCCTTTTGATTTGACTACATTATTTGATGGTTAATACGTAAGTGTAAGTGCCGAAAATACTAAGCATATAAATAGAAATTGGTGAAGGTAAATTATAATATGAAACAATAATAACCTACCTATATATAAAATAAATATTCTGTTTGTATAATGGGTATTTTGAGAAAAGTATTTTTCATAAGAATCAAATCAATTGACATTTAAAAATTCGTTAATGTTTCTAGAGAAGAAAGTTTATGCAATATATATTTAACATATATCATTATAAGATAAACACCTGTACTGGTATTTAAAATTCGTGAAACCGTAAAGTATTTCTTAAGTCTGATGCATCAATTTTCATTCCTTGTCGAAATTACGAAACTCTTAGGGATAAGCCCTAAATAATAAAGTAACCTTCTGTAAATATATTTAGTTACATAAGGAAATTTCAAGAAACGATTTCGGAAGATGAGATGAATTCATTCTGTCTTGAAAATATTATTTCTTGGAAGAAGGGAATAAAGTACACATCGATCTCCAACACTCTTGAGGAAATCTGCGTATTACAAAAGCAAAGAAAAATATTTTGTGTAGAAATTGCCCCAACACTTTACAAACTATGCATTTCGTAATCATAAATTGAATTTTGAACAACACTTTAAGACGCGCATTCGAAGCATGCAGACACCGTC